AGACTCTAAATGGGTGTGAATGCCATGTTGCATGCATATGAAAATGATATGTTGTCTTATGGGAACTGATTTTGGAGGGATGGTTTAGCAAGGGACCAAACAGCCTGAGAAGGGAAGATGTCTGAAACAGGAAGGTGTATCCTAAGGATTCATCCTAGTTTTAAGCCTGCTTGGCTTTTTTCCTTAACCTTAGTATGTATTTCATAGTGAGACGAAGATTATTGACTACAAACTGAATTTCTCCCAAAACTGGAAGATGGATCATGATATATATTTCTATGTGTTTGCAACCATCCTATTTTAATAGGCAATAAGGGGGCCTCCAGGTGATTAGGCAGCCTGTCAGTGAGGTGCTCTAACACATGGCACTTTACACAAAAGTTAGTGAGTTAGAGCACCAATGAACCTAGCAGGTGTTGGGTGAGGAGGGCCTGAGCCTGCCTAGACCAGCCCTGGCCAATAGGCAGGGTGTTTCAGCAGCTTCCCAGGAAGCTGCTGAGCTGCCCCTCTCCCCAGCCCTCCTTCCCACCTCAGCCATAGCAAAGCTGAGCTTCTGTGCTGCCCTTGTCAAGAGGTTCAGATGTGGGGTGGGGGAAGAGAGTTCCCCCTGCTTCACAGTGTCCCCTCCCCCAGGCTTTGCAGTGGCTGGAGCTGGGGTGGGGGAAAGGGAATGGAGCCCCCTTGTCTCACAGGTCCAGGATCAGCTCCCTGCAAGACTGCAGCAGGTGGGTATCTTCCTGCCCCAATGCCCCCTTCACCTCCCTCCCTTCTGTACAGGAAGGAGATTCTCTGTTCTCTGTGACAGCCCAGGGGGTGGGGTGGGGTTGGGATGGTGCTTGCTGACATGAGCATCAGCTCAGCCCTGAAAAGGTACATGAGATGTGAGTGGAATTACCTATACTTAAGGCTCACAGGGAACCTGAACAGAAGTTCCCTAAGGTGCTCTGGTCTATGGTGCCCACAGATGATTTAATAAAAGTTCTTTTTTTGTATGATTGGCTATTTTTAAACTGCTCTGCAGCCATGAATTTGATATGTCATGGCTGTAGAGTGCTTCCAGGGGCTTCATCACACTAAAAATGTAACTTCTGTAAGTGCCCCAAGCATACCTGTGATGTAGCCCAGTGGTGCCCAACCTTTCCAGCCCATGGGCTGGATAAGCAGTCCCAGATCCATCTGCAGGTTGGATCCTGACTGTAAGCTTGATCTGGCATATGGTGATGGCCCAGCTGGGGCCCCATCTAGCTGCATTGGAATGGCCCAGCCATAGTGGATACAGCTGCATGGGGCAAGGGCTAGTCCTGGTCCAACCACATGAGAATAGCCAGCCTGGGTCTGATTAGGTCCCAGTTAGGCTGTTTCTGGGCAGCTCCATTGGGCCCCAGGTAGGCAGTTTCTATGTGGCTGAGTTGGACCTCAGCTGAGTCATTTCCAGGTAGCAGCATCAGGTCCTGACTTCACAGGCCAGATCTGGCCTGTGGGCTAAATCTAGCCTCATGTGCTTTTACATAAAATCTTGTCATTTAGAATTTTTTAGAACTTTCTTATGGCATGTTCTTGTTTTAATGCTCTGAAAAAATGTTCATCTGTCAGCCTGAGTCTTTCCTCATCAATAATGCAGTAGTCTCAAAAAAGAAGGTATGGTCTAAGGAGTCAGGCAATTTTGCACAGAAAATGTTGCTATAATACAAAGAAAACATATTGCATAGGATCATTCCCTCATTGTCTTCCAATAAGAGTTATTACAAATTCTTTTTTTTTAATTTCCTATAGAATTACAATTCATTTAATTAATCAAATCTTATGTAAGAAAATTTGTACCGTTCAGATTGTAGTTAATACACTAAAAACAGCCCATTATAAGAATTTTCAAGCATCACATAGTAGTGGATCTTTGGGTGAACAAGTAGGGATGAATAATAGGAACTTGATCCTCTGAGTAGAGGAACAGAGAATATTTAAAGAGGGGTGGATGTGGGAGCAACATGGTCATAATAAAGGTTAAGAAACATGTATTTATTAGCAACTGAGACATGGTAGTATGGTTTTCAGAAGGTTTTTGTAATCAAGATAGGATAAAAGCTTAAACAAGAGCTTTAGCTACAGAAACAAAATGAAAAAGACCCACATTTTTAATATTTTAAAGAAAGAAGGAGCAGGTATTGATATAGATTAGATGTATAAAACAAGGGAGAGAGGAGGGTCAAAATGGCTCTATTGGTTATGGTTCTGAATAACAAAGGTGTCTGAACTATAAATAAGGACAGAGGTTTGGGTGAGGAAAAGATGTTTTGACTTTATCAATAATCACTTTTTCTATTTCTCTTATTTAACAACAACTCTTATTTGGAAGAAATTTTAAACTAGCAGTCTAGTGAACATTGGAGCAAAAGTAGAGGCTATCTAGCCACCTGATCTAGGTTTGAACTGGGACTGGATCCCAGTCAGATTTGCAGGTTTATCATCTGGAGCTCCTTCTGAGGCTGGTCCTTGAACTACAGGTGTCAGTGTCAGGGCCAGATTAATGCATAGGCAAAGTAGACACATGCCTAGGGCCCTAAGTGAAGAAGGGGCCAAGTTGGGCTCATTTTACATATTATAATTATTGAGTGAAAAAAGTAAGGGCCCATGAATTTGTTTGCCTAGGCTAGGGCCTACAAAGGGTTAATCCAGCCCTGGTCATTATGGGGTGGAGATCTTACCCTTTTGTCTAAGTCAAATACTCTGTTTCATACTTGCCTTGAAACCTTCTTTTGTGTTAGTTATCATTTGTTTTGTAAGTACAACATATTTTGCTGAGTTATGTAACTAGTACATAAAAACTCATCAGGCACATGCAGAGGAGTGCACACATATGATATGCAGCACCACTGACCCATCTGTAGCACCTCACACCACATGTGCCGTACATGCAGGCTAGGGACAGCAGTTACATATGAACCTATTTAAGTGATCAGAAACTGGTTTAAACCTGTAACAGAACATAAGTTCAGTACACATAAACCAGTTTCAAAATGGCTGAAACTGGTTTAAGATAAACCTGGTTGAATGTAGTATCAGACTTAAGTGATTTAGGTCAAACTGGCTTATAAAACTTCTGTCCCAGACCCTTTCCTGGTTCAAATTAAACCAGAGGCCCCCAGCATCCCAGCATGCTTCTCAACCCTGGGCTGGGCTATGCTGTCTGCTCCAGAGAGGAGGGCTGGTCCCACCCCTCTGCTCCATAACCAGAGCAATGAAGGCTGGCTCACTGTCCACCCCCTGACCCCCAGCAATCCCTGGCTGGGGTCTGAGGCCAGGAAGGAGGATTAAACTCACCTTCCCCTGAGTAAAGTGTTGTCCTGCCCTGCTGGCTTACTTAGTGCTGGCTGCAACTGTAGACTACAAATCCCAGAGGCACCTGGAAGCAAGACGAGGAAGTGATGAGCAACCCTACACAGTCCTGTTGCTTTGAGTCTAGACTACAAATCCCAGAGACCTTGGGGGAAGCAGGAAGAGTAAGTGAACACACAGCCAATGCTGTGTTTATAGTTCTTCAGTTTATAGTTTTTCAGAGACAGTACTATTCATATTCAAGCTTTTATGAATTCAGTTCCACTACCTTACCCCCCTCCTCCCTCTCTCTCCTCCCAGGCAGAGTAAGGCTGGGGCCTGGCCATGCACCCCTCCATACTCTGGCAGGGAATGGGGGGGAAGTCCTGGAGGGCTTTTTCTCTTCCCTCCCCTTTGGCAGTGGCTGGCCAACATGCTCTAGGATCCCCTGGCTTCTGGCTTGAGCCACTGCAAGTATGTGGCTGCATTTCCTGAACCAAAACTGAATGTGTGTTCATTTGCTAATTGGTTCGATCTCTGCAGTTTAGACTAACCTGCACAGGCTCAATCAATTCAGCTGCAGGATTTTTGACTGTCTGTACTTAGGTGCAGGTATTTCCTGTGCTGCTAATTTTCAGCACAGGGGTGGGGGTTTTGACACTGGGAGATCCTGGTGTCAAAAAAACACACACCTAAAAAAAAGCAGGGTGGTACACATGGCAGCAGCATGCACCGTGTGAACCAGAATCTGTCTGGCCAGAGCCATACTCCAGCAGCCGGCCAAGCTCCCTGCTGCCAGATCTCCACAGCTTCAGCCCCTAAAGGCCCCCAGGAACCCAAATAGGCTGCTGGGGCCAACACATGCCATGCTCCAAAGCAATATGCCACATGCCAGAGCATTCCCCAGGAACAAGTAGCAGGGGCCACTGAAGTTTGTCACCGGGGAAATGCATGCCCATAGAGGTCCAACAACAGAGTCAGATCAGCAATGGATTTGGCTCCTCTTATAGCATTGCTGGTGCCAGAACATAAAGGATGACTTTCTGAACTTGTGAAAAGCTGCTTCACATATGTCAGGATATGTAGTGGAAATTGGTTGCCAGCCAGTGGCTTTAAAAGCATGCTTAGTTAGTACAGAATCAGTGTCTCACAAAATTATTGTTGTTATATTAATTTACACTAATACTAAACAATGTTCTAGGTCATTTCCAACATTGAAAAAAATGGTTCCTACCCTGAAGTGCTGACAACTCAGAAAGAGGTCTATGGATCTTCTAGTCCCTTCTGCAGCCAATAGATTGTCTAATACTTTGGTAATCTAGTAAAAATTTAGATAAACATTGTATTCACAGGGGCCTTCTAGCTGTATATAGATTAACTGTAATGTGGCTGTTTACATCCATTTAAAGTGCATGTTCCATTATCTCCAACTCCATTTTCAATACAGTAGTTTATCTATAATAACATTTTTTTAAGTTCAAGCTTATAATTATATTTAGGTCTGAGATCCAAATAAAAGCATAAGCAAGTATTTTGAACAGCAAACTGAAAGTATGAACAATGCATTATTTATCTGTAACATCTTAATTCTTGAAAAGTAGGAGTATCAAATTACCTGTTGAGAATAAATGCATTGAAACAACTTGTAATTACATGCCTGTTTTGTCTGCTTTTGGGCAAAGCCTTACCTTTTGTTGTTCCCTCTGAGTCTGATAAAATCAAATCAAGTGCCTTCCTGACCAAACAGAATTCAAATGTCCATGAAGGTAAAAGAAACAAATTAAGACACAGTCTGGGCATGTTGCTTCTACCATTTGTTTCAAGACAGTTGTTTACAATTATCATAATAATGGAAAGGTTACCGCCTGAATGCGGAAGAGAGGGGGTGGCTGCAAAAGTGATTCATGCCGGAGTAATGCGAATGCTAATGTACCTCCTTGGTAGGTGATCACTGCTTAGAGAGGGGCAAGGACAGTAAATACTTTCCTTTGAAGCCTTGCAAGGTTTAGCACAGTGATTTATAAACCACGATACATCCTTGCTGAAAAAATCATTAATTAAGTAGAATGGCTCATGATACCGCTTCTTGTTCTCTCTTTCTCTCTCTCTCCTTTTTTTTTTTTTTACAGCTTCTTTATAGCTAAAGACAGAGTAATAAATTGCACTGGATTTAATAATTTACAGAAGGCCCTGTTGTTATAATGTGAGAATGTTAACTGTGATGTGGCTTTTAATTTGCTTGTTGTGTCAATAATGCTAACTATTGTTTCTTTTACAGATAAAAATAGCTTTGCCTACGACTGCACAAGTTTAGGAACCCAGTCCTTCTAACAGGCAAAGCTTCCACTGAAGTCAGTGAGAGTTTTGCAGGACTGGACTCTAAAGGATCCCCAGGCACCCTGGTTGAGAATTGCTGCCCTTGTCTTTGAAGGTTGCCACAGGGTGCCACATAATATTAGCCCTGTTAAGTGTGCAGATACAATTTACAACATAAACCCAGGGATTTCAAATGGAAATCATGGTATTAAAATATTCTGACCTGCACTGGTTTTCATGACCTCTTTGCAACAGAAAAATTGCTCTGTTATTTTTCTGTAGTCAAAAAACAAGAGAAAACTAAGAGTCAACATTTTTCCGAGGGGTGCTCAAGTCTAAGCAGGGGTGCCTTGAACCTATAAAGATTGAGAAGTATTGAAGTCAAGCCAGCCACTCTTTTATCCTTAGACCATGCAGACCATTCTGGCCAGCGTAAAGGAGCCTTTGTGTGGGTATAGGTAACATTTACATTTCACTTCAGGGCTTCTTACTTTGCCAGAGAGATGTTAAAGCAAACCTAGAGCAAAAGAGAATTAAGCTTCCAATACTAGAATGTTTCTGTGGCTCCTCTACCCAACCATCAGTACTTTTAAAGGCCCGCTATTTTAAGGCCCTTCAAGCATCGCCACCTCCAAGCAGAATGACCTAGATATACCATGCTGAAGGGAATAGAAGAGGGGATGGAGGGAATTAGTTGCTGACATTCTCAGGCATCAAGATTAGAACAATCCCCTTCAATTCCAATTTCCACATGATGGAGGAAAAGAGTATGAAGAGAAAAGCTGGGTAAACAAGCTGTACTTCAAAGCTTTTGCATTGAGGAGGGTAGTTGAATTTCCTCTGAGATGTCATCAATTTCATTTATGAATGGGATCACTACAATGGTCTCAATAAGTTTTGAAGGAGGATGTTTCACAAACATCTATTATTTTATAATAAAGGGAATAAAGCTTCTTGCTAACTATATTACATTAGGTTTTCTCCTGTAATTTCTCTTTGACGTGTCTGGTCTACTGTCTGTTATGATTAGATTTTACAGTCCTAGAGAACAACGCATGTTATCAGGAAAAAAAGATTCTGTTTAAGGGACAATATGGATGAATTAAACCCCTTCTTGGCCGGTGTTCTTAAGTGGTATACATTCACTCAGACTTCCAGATACTTTTAATCACTTTGATTTTAAAACTTTACCAAGTGGCATCCCATATCCCAGCCCCTTTATTAATGGCCAGTTGTAAATGACTTTAGCAAATGGAACACCATTTGTCACATTTTTAACAAGTGGTGCACTGTACTGTATTTCTAGCCCCACCACTTAATTTAAGCATTGAGATTTATTGCTTGTCATCATCTCCTCTATCTTTCTGTTCTTTCTTTGTGCCTTCTCAAGTGCTAAAACAGGTTGTTGTGGGGGAGGGGTTATGAGAAAAAGCAAAAACATTTCTAAGTAGACCCTTACTCAGAATAGTAAAAAATATCCATTCAGCTCTTCCAGGTTATTTACTGGATCCTTGTAATGGCTTTTCTTTTAACTGTTTTGCCACATTTTTCATGAGTGGAGCATCCTTTTATATTCTCTTGCAAAATATTCCCATCACAGTTCAACTGGGTTTGTTTACTCTTTTAAAACAAATGTGAAATCTTACATTTTCCAAACTATTTGGGTTGCTGGAGAGCAGCCTGCTGTGCTGCAAATCAAAACCCTTTATTTAACTTGATACTAGACTTTTCTTCAACACACTACCAAACTTTATGCAACCAACAACTTTCACTAGTTAGTAGCCAGTTTCTCTGTCTAGATTATATAGATTATGTTATAGGTTACAGAGTGCAGATGTGATTTATATACAGCACAGTAAAAGCAGAAGAGATCTTAAGAAGTGACCGCCAATAGCTTCAGCTAAAGCTCCTCTGAATCAAACATCTGTTCTGTGTTTATATTAATTTATTTGTTTGTTTGTTTGCATAAGAGACCCAAGAATTTGGCCATGGGCTTTTGTCGCCTTTTCTCGTAGAGCTTGTACAGGAAATGGAGAATGAATAAGATGCCAAAAACATATCTGAAACATTTTTATACCTGGTATTATTCTACTGTTAGCAATCAACACAGTCCTGATCTCCAACAAAAGCAGTGAGACTGCTGGACTTTAAGGCCAGTGTTGTTATTTTTTATTATAGCCTGATCATGAAATCCTAACACAAACATTGTTCTTACATTATTCTTACTGCAACATTTAGGTTTAATATTCCCATACTAAGAGGAGCTAGCCTGTTTGTCTGATGCCTTACAGTCTGTGAAGTCTGTGAAGTCATTTCACTTGTTTCTGGTAAAGTGGGTGTGTCTACATGTGCATTTGCTTCAGCACCAATATACTCACGAGTAAATTACTCATGAGTAAATGGTGCCGAGCAAGCATCTACACGTGCTCCCACTGCCAAGGCCCCTGAAATGGGCCCTTGCTGCCACTGGGGGGTTGCCCCAGGCTCCAGCTGCAGCTTCCAGCAGCCAGGAGCCCTTTTGAAAAGGCAGCGCTGCTCATTGTTCTCTGGCCAGCCACTTCAAGGAGAGTGCAGCACACGGCAGCACTCTCTTTGCCTCCTGTGCCATCCACACTATGGCTGCTTCAGCTCCTGCCCCTGACAGTGACAGCTAGTGCCCTGGGCTCCTGCTAGCCAACCATGCTGGCCCTGCTAGCCAGCCATGCTGACCACTGCCTGGCCCATAGTCATTCGGCCCCGCCCAGCTCCCCCACATGCAGCAACCACCTGCCAAACAACCACATGCCATCCCAGGGCCACTGCTATGTACCTGCCACCATCCACCTGGCCAGATTCCAGCAGGGGTGCCAAAAATAGGCTCCAGGATGCCACTGCTGGGGCTGCCATCATCCTCCTGGGCCTCCAACAGGCCATCCATAACTGGTAGCAGCACATCATCCAGCACACCTGGGATGATAAGCAGTGGCTGGAGACCTAAAGGATAACCTAGGCCACCTTCCAGGATCTCCTATACCAGCTCCAGCCACATCTGGAGCAGCAGGACACCAGCATGTGGCTGGGGTTTAGCATGGGTCTAACAACCATGTGGCTGAGGCAATGCCCTAGAGCACATGCAGGCTCCAGGCAGACTACTGGAGATGTGCTGCAGGCAGGTGGAGCTGGGCCCAAGGCCCCAAAGCTGCCTGCAGCTGGGCCTATGGAGTTGCAGGACCTGCCAGAGCCTTCAGCAGCCTGCAACAGCCTGGAGCAGTATGCACGCCTGGATGGCATGGGCCTGGATGGCACGGCAGCTGTGCAACACTGCGATGCCAGGCAGTGACACCAGGGTGCAGGCAGCTGGAGAGGCTAGCCTGCAGCCTGCCCAGGGGGACACAGGGCTTTGAGTCACCTCAGGCTGCCTGCTGTTGTGCCCCAGTGCTCAAAATACCTGAGGCAGGGGCTGCCATAGAAGCAGCCCAGCCCTGGAGTAGGAGAGGCTCCCAGCTGGTCACAAGCTGGCCCCCTTCTGGCAGGGCTGACCTGGGAGCAAATTTGCTCCCGGGTCACATCTACATGTGCATTACTGTGCAGGAACTAATCATGAGTTAATTTTCACACCTTCACTTGCAGGTATCAATTTTATTCGCAATTAGGGTTTTTTACTGTACAGTAAGCATTTGCACATGTAGACATGAACGCTTACTGCATAGTAAACTATGCTACTGTACAGTTAAGCATCTCATATAGATGCAGCCACTGAGTACAAAGTACATGTATAAGGTTACCCATTCCAATTTCTTCTTGCTTCAGTTGCAACATTTTATACCCACTCTTTACACTTAGTGTGCACAAGAAGAAAATGACTCCAAAAGGAAGAATCAGGCCCAATAATAATGTATTATGCCCATGTTCTTCCCACGAGGGAGTTTCAGGGGCATTTGAAATACTGTGTCCTCAGAACAAACCATTCCATGTATCACCCTGTATTTTCTACACTGAAACAGTTCTTAAACCCTTCCAATATTTATTCCTTGAAATCCTGTAGCTACAAGTTTAAGCAGGAGCTTATCATGTGAAAATGTTATAAGAAGCTTTCTGAAATTCCAAATAAATAATATCATATGACTGTAACCTTTTCAAAGCAAAACATAGAAAAAATAAGGAAACTTTGAGATAGAATTATAGTCTTAGCTTTCTCATTTGAGAATGGTACAGGAGGGGAAAAATAAACACTATGCCCCCATGCAGCAGTCTGTAGCCACAGTCGAGACTAATGAGCTCTCCATATTTACCGTAAAATTGTATGAGTTGGAGTTGCACTAAAACAGCTCTTTGACATGAGCTTTCAGGTCAGTAAAGCAGGCAGAGTCCTAAAACAGTCTTACTTTCCCAAGGGTGTCTAAAGAATCCAGCTCCTAACCTGGGAAATGAGCCAAGAAAAGAGGTTGGGATAGGCAGTTGGTCACTGACCTACAGACATCTGATTAGGTCTCCTTTAAAGCTTTAGGATAAATTCCAAATACTCTTCTCAATTTATAGGTGCTAAGATATCAGCAGATCATTGCAGACGACGTAATTAGTTCAGTTCTGAAAAAAGCAGGTGCA